AAAAAAAAAAAAAAAAAAAAAAAAAAAAAAAAAAAAAAAAAAAAAAAAAAAAAAAAAAAAAAAAAAAAAAAATATTTTTTTTTATTAAAAAAAAAAAAAAAAAAAAAAAAAAAAAAAAAAAAAAAAAAAAAAAAAAAAAAAAAAAATTGGGGGGGGGGTGGGGGGGGGGGGAAAAACCCCCCAAAACCCCCAAGATTTTTTTTTTAAAAAAAAATTTTTTGGGGGGGGGGGGGGGGAAAGGGGCCCGGGGGGGAGGGGGTGGGGAAAAAAAAAAAAAAGAAAAAAAGGGTTCCAAAAAAAAAGAAAAGGAAAAAAAAGTTTTGTGCTGTTTTTTCACAACGCGGCCCCTCTGGGCTTATAATGGTAAAGAATTATCATAGGTCATTGTGAGAAATCCCGTCTTAGGATAGGCATGTTGGTTAAAAGTAGAAATGTATGGCTTATTATCAACGGTTTAATATCCATCGCATCCAACATGTCTCTAATCAATTATATTTTTTCTGGAACATGTTGTACTTTGTCATGGGAAGGCTTTTCGAACATCCAAAGCAAATATAGGTCGGCAGGCTAAGATATTGTTTTGATGGTATATGGCTTGGGTATATCAACTTCCGTCAAATACACTCCAAGCGTGTTTGCTCTTCTCAATAATTTCAACTTATTTCAAAGATGATTAACGCACAATGTATTTAAGATTTTCATTACGATTTGTAGGTTTAGACGCTTTTTACTATCACACTTACAAAAAACACCAGCGGCGAACAACACGAGGACAACTAGAAGGCCAACCGCGCAACACAATATACAAACTGTCGTTTGCGCAGCGATTTTTAGCGCATCATTACTGACGTAGACGTTGCGCCAACTGCGAGTAAAATTAATAGGCATTATAAAATATTCAAACTAGTTCAATTGTTCTAATATCGTCGATGATAATTACTGGTTATTCGAAATAAGATATTACCCTAACTTTATATAACTTAAATAAACCTGGTAGTATCTTGAAACATGGACTATATAATACATGAGGCCGCTAGAGGCCTAAATGCAATTATTATAATTTGAATTATTTATATTTTCATACTCTAAAAGTCTACACACAACACAGTGACCGAAAATTTTTACACAAATAACAGTTCGTCTTCGCCTCAGTTAATTGGGCTTTTTTTGTTATTATGCATCTGCTAGGCTAAATAGAGATAAGAATTTACAAGAGATTAATTATTATGAGAAGAAGTAAAAATTTAGAGTTGACTATCCATTAATTTGAAAGTTGTAAGCAAAGAATTTCAATTCATTTTGAGAAATATGGGAAAAGTCATAAAAACAAATCTATCTATTTAATAAATACTGTCTATATAATCTACGTTACTATAAAACAAATTTAGTGTAGAAGATTGAATTTCGTTGATATGTTAAGAAATTGAATTTCCTTAATTCTTATAGTATTGTCTACCTACATATGAGAAAAAATATATAATAAATATAACAATAACTGCTGCATAGCGTTCCGAAAAATTGGGCCTCGGTTAAATTTAAAAAAAGTTAGTTTTTGTGTATACCTGATTTTTAAGACATTTCTTGTTTTAAACCGTTCAGGGGTGTCATCTAAATGTGTACTACCCGCGCAAAGTAATGATAATGATAAATATTATTTTAAAACAGGTTATAGGACTCCTATACTGTCTATAGTTTACGCGAGTAGTACACATTTAAATAAAACACTTTAACGGTCTCCCCGCGACCACGGCTGCTGCAAAGCATCCGAAACGTCGGGCCGAAGATAAAAATCATTTTCAAATAAGTTTAACTAATATATCGCGTTTTAAACCGTTAAAGTGTTTTATTTAAACTTCTCATCATGTTTACAATTCGAAAGATTCTCTTTGTCACGTTTACAATCACACTTATGAACGGCGAACGAGAACATACAACATACAATATAAATATTCCTGCAGCGTTTATCAAACGCCGCCTTTGAGCTAGGAGCACCGAAAAGTTCACTTCGACTCAAATAATCTTAACAACGCTTTTGCGACATACCACATCACTTTAATGCACGCATTTCAAAATTTTCTAGTTGCTTTTCAACTTGTATTTTTCTTCACGTTACTCTGACATTTGGTAGAATGACTAGCGAGTCAGTGTTTTATTTTTCTTTCAACTAACCTCTTTGACGCGCTCCGTGGGTGGACTACGAACCTGTAAAATGTTATAATTAGATGACAAGTCGCATTACATATAACTTACGGTATTTAAATAAAACACTTTAACGGTTTAAAACGCGATATATTAGTTAAACTTATTTGAAAATGATGTCTACCCGTGACCACGGCTGCTGCAAAGCATTCGAAACGTCGGGCCGAAGTTAAAAATCATTTTCAAATAAGTTTAACTAATATATCGCGTTTTAAATCGTTAAAGTGTTTTATTTAAATGTGTACTACTCGCGTAAACTATAGACAGTATATAACTTACGGTAATTAAAAAAATGTTTATTTAAACGAACTCTCTATTCTACCCCTACACAGTACCTACACAAACACACACGCACATACACAGGAAAATTATTTAATTTCAATTATAAATAAACATCATCAACTTCAAATAGAATAAAAGATAGATTTTAATGTCGTTGACAATCATCGAGAAAAATTTGCCGCTGGTTCGAATACCGCGTTATGTGTCTAAACATTAAAACCGTACAGAAATATCCGATACCCACTTAGTTATTAGATTATAGTTTCTATTATAATATTATCAATTCCTATTATTTATTTAAAGTACTAGTAAACATATTTAAAATTAGTGTTTCAGGCTATAACTTATCACTGTGTAATAAAACTAATATACAAGAATAACAGTTTTTTTAACGATGGAAGGTAATGATAGCTACTTATTTACTAATGGTGTTTAGTATTTTTATTCACTTTGGAATCAAATTAAACTTTACACAATAAATTGAAGACCTAAGTGGAAATATACTTACAAATAAATTCAGCTAAAAAGAATAATCCAACCGCTATCAATGCGATGATAAGGAGACACCCAAACAGCTTGAAACAGAGCTCGAAGCAGCAACGGAAGCAGCAAGCGCAGGGATTGGGTATCGGGATACAGCAACCACCTCCACCGCCACCGCCAATGATAATGTTACGAAAGCTGACAGTTATAATTTATTATTTATAAAATATATATTTTTTTAATTAAATTTAATTAGCGGGCGAGAGTGCATAATAACTAATTTAAACTTTAAATGTCTCAGAAAGCTATAATAATGAGATTAAATTCAAAGATTTTACTGAGTGTCATAATTTAAATTTAAATAAAACACTTGAACGGTTTAAAACGCGATATATTAGTTAAACTTATTTGAAAATGATTTTTAACTTCGGCCCGACGTTTCGGATGCTTTGCGGCAGATGTGGTCGCGGGGAAGACAAAGTTAAAATCATTTTCAAATAAGTTTAACTAATATATCGCGTTTTAAACCGTTAAAGTGTTTTATTTAAAAGTTTACTACTCGCGTACACTATTGACAGTATTTTATCATGAGTTAAACTTTGAGGTAGGCCTAAATTGTTTGAACAAAAAAAAAAATCGCATTAACCAATATAAATATAATTGCGCAGTGAACATTGAAATCATATATGCATATATATACTGAACACCGGCAAATCAAACTTAAGTTTTGGTAAAAAATGCACTGTCGATCTACTTTAACTTTGGATATTCGGAAATCCACAGAGTGAAATGTGATTAAGCTTCACGGCTATTTCATTTCGTGACTCGGGCGGTATTTTGATATTCTTACCACTCGTTTAATGCCCAGTCTTCCAATTGATGTCTAACGTTTTCCAGAAACATTATAAATTAAATCAAAGCCACGTTCAGTTGATTATTGCTACCATTAGACTAACGAGCCCGCCACAGCATTGATAAGGTTTTAATTTAAATAAGGGGGGAAACTTTCGTTAATAAAAATATTGATAAATAAATATTAGGTAGGTATTTACAGTTCAAAATGAAATAAAAGGGATTAAGTAAGAGAAATGTATCTGTTAACCATACCACATTATTTACATTTCTCTTGTAAAAGTTGTCACCGCTTCCGACAGACACATCCATGAGAAATGTTTTGTATATATTGGGCAGTCTTAATTGCAGTTACATCATTTTAGTTGAATCTATTTCTAAATCTGAAGTCTGAACGTTTTATTACTTGTTTAACTTGATGACATATGCCATGTGACAGATTAAGATCTGAGTTCGTCATTTGCCACTTGATTTTTTAAAAGTAAATTCGAACAAAGGACAAGAGTTTCATGAATTACATTTAAGAGTATATAACCTAATAATGCTAGGTTAAAAATGTCAAAATTTCACAGGGCATAGACTAAGGAAATAAACATTTTGGGAAAATTTAATCTAACATTTATATTAAAACTTGACATGTCGCAGTTTAAACCATGGAAATGACACCACTGACAGTAATTTATATAGATATTATAAAGCTAAAAAGTGTTTTTTTAATGTTAATCTCGGGAACTACTGGTTTTAATTAAAATATTTTTTTGAGTAGATCATTAATCGAGAAAGGTTTTAGACTACAACAGACTACGACTAATAGGAGGGAAGAGAGAGTGGAAAATGTAGGAAATTTAGGGGAAATCACTCACCTTTTAGGGTTTCTGTTGCGTGCGCTGCGAGATCGGATCAACAAAACAAAAAAAATGCTTGGAAGGATTATTCCTCTTTCAATGAAAACTGTATTTCTAAAAAATGACTGTACCAGAATATGTAACATTACCTCACATGAACCGTTTTTATGGTAATTAAATTTAATCGAAATTTATGCATAATTACCAATTAATAAACATAATATTAATCTTGCAAACAACAAAACAGCGTTTGCCGGATCAGCTAGTACAATAATAAAAATATTCTTACAAAAATAAACTCTCTAAAATACAATCATCTAAAGAACACGATATCAATGCTCAAGACACGACGACTTGCAGAGTATAATTCCTATTTTCCGCTCTCCATTTGGATAAAAGAGAAATTAAGTCCAAGCCATCAATTGGTATAACGATTTTAGAAGCTTTGCCTTCAATTGTATCGCTATCATTACTCGTTACTACAATCCCTTCTTCCGTTTTATCTTCTGTAACACTAAAACCAGGTATCATACCAGTAGTTTCATTAACAGTCAAGAGAAGATTATTCTCTCTAGTTGTTATTTCTATATCGTTGTGTGTATTTAAACTGTCAACTTCCTTCGAATTATAAGTTTCAAGTGTCGGCGTATCAACATCTTCGTAATAGTCTTCGCTATCAAGGCTTCTCCAATGAGGAGTTGGTTGGTTTTTGTATCGATACTGGTATTTTGCTGGAACTAAAGCATGCAACTTTTAGAATGTTTTGTTTCCCCGAGACCACGGCTGCTGCAAAGCATCCGAAACGTCGGGCCGAAGTTAAAAATCATTTTCAAAAAAGTTTAACTAATATATCGCGTTTTAAACCGTTAAAGTTTTTTATTTAAATGTCCCGCGTAAACTATAGAGAGTATTTAATTACCAATCTCAGTTTTGTTTAAGTTTAAAAATTCAAAAAAAAATGCTACCTTTATACTCAATTTGTATACTTCATAATTATCATAGTATTATAGAGATATTTTTGGCGCACACAAAAACGTTGTTCCTTTTGTTTTTAAGAATATATATGAGGTTGCTAGAGGCAGAGTGGCCTAATTACAATAACCATGATTTTCAATAAGGAGAAAAATAAACATGCGCAATTAATTTAGGCGAAAATTCATTTGTACCATTATTTGTGTAAGAATTATGTTAACGATTTTCGGTCACCGTACTTTTGAGGATTAAGATTTTTTGAACTATAAAAATATAAATACAATCAAGTCCTAAAATTGCAATTAGGCTACTCTGCCTCTAGCGGCCTTATAACCCTAAATTCTTCATTTCGACGCAATAGCCATAGTAATGGTATTGCGTCGTCAGCTCGTTAGTTTATTTAGTGAAAACTAATAAGATATTTTTTTAATGTAAGTTACAACATTTTACTCAAATATTCTATATCTCTCCTCATTGTCGTGCTTCTTATACAAGTTCTATTGCCAGACATCAAACGATCACTTATTGACATTCCAATATTCGCACTCGAGCAGAATTGTAATATGACACCATACGTACCGAATCTATGCTTCGTCTTAAAATCGATGTAGCAATAATTGTATCCCAGGCCGATTCCAAGAAATAGCGTCATTACGATTGTGAAGACGATACAGGATACGAGGCACGTACACGTGAGACAGCTGAATATGCTGAGGCAAAACAAAATAATGATAGGACAATTTCTTTAATTATGTTCCTTACGCTGGAAACTACGGTTGCAATTTTTTTTTCAATGTAAAAATTGTTGAAAATTTATACAGACAAGTTATGTGGACACACCCAACCATCCAAAACATCGGATTGTAGTAAACTTGTGTTAAGTAATATACTTCGTGTTTTGACCTGCTTCAAAATGTTTTATATTAATGGGCAAATTACAATAATCGAAAAGATCATCCGTATACTTTTGTTAGTTTTAAAAGAAATTACTTCGTAAAACTCTTGTCTACACATAAGGATAACAAATAATTACCCACCGAAACTTACTTTAAATAGAACACTTTAACTGCTTAAAACGCGATATATATTAGTTAAGCTATTTAAAAATATTTTAACTACGGCCCGACGTTTCGGAGCTTTGCAGCAGCTATGATCAGTCTCCACGTTAAAGTATTTTATTTAAATGTCTTCTCGCCTTAACTACAGAAAGAAACTTACTTTTCTGAAAAGTGCAATAAATGCGATATAGTAGAACCCATACTGAAATACCGTAAAAGGCTGTAAATCATGAACATTAATTTGATTTCAACTTCCTGTCAGCCATTGACAAAGTATTGTGTCATATTCTAATCATACTAGAACTAGACATTCACGATATGACATTCGAAATTGTATTTATGCCCGGCACATCCCTTAAAAATGGTAGAGTTTTCTCTAACAAGTCATTGGTTTTTTTTTAAAAAAAAAAAAAAAATAAAAAATTCATTTTCGATCTTTAAATTATATAGTGCCTTCATGTGCAATAACATGTGAAAAATATTAAGTAGGTATTGACCACAAAGTGCAGAATATTTGTGGTAAAAATGTATATTTTGACCTCTCAGTAATGTTTCACCACCACCACTTCAGTAACGCAATTTTATTGGGTTTTTCGAACATTTGTCTCGTGTCAGTAATAAAATCGTGAGCTTATAAAAATAATTGGCAACTTTGGTTTCATAAGGTAATTAATATTTGGAAGTAAAACGAGTTAATTAAATCATACATTTATCTAATCCTTGTGAGAAACAATATTAGGTTATAATTTATTGTTTAAACATTGAATTAACTCAAACGGCACTGGATAGTAGTTCGAAAATGGTATTCTAGTTTACATTTCCCTGTTCATCTCACAAAAATATCATCAACATAAACCTCATTTTTCTTTCAGCTTAGCTTACACTACTAAATGAAGTGTAACATTCTGCTTCGTACTTCTTATTTTCTTCAACAGCTGTGCGAAGTCCACTCCAGCATTCAGAGGCACGTAGACCATGACGTTGTTTTTCATCTGTGGTAAAGTATACGGCTTAAAAGCCTTTCGGAATTCAGCTTCGGTTGTGGTTTCAGCTCCTTTATCCGTACTGTTGTCCGATTCTGTATCGTTAGCTGGCATCTTCATAAAATCTTCGTTTTCATCGAATGCAGCTGAAAAATAAATACCGTATCGTCAATTCTTTAATAGATCCTATTGCTTTCTAGAAGCCTCTTATATACCGGTATGCTTTTCAACGTAAAAAAAATGGTAATATAACCAATAACTTTATTATGTTATACTTATATCTTTATTATAAAGATACCCTCTTTCCAAACAGTTTACAAATTAGTAAAGATCTTCCCTAATTTCACCTCGTCAGGATTAAGTAGCAGTGCTGGGAGTCTCTTTAAAACACCAAAAACGGGCTAGTGGTATATTTAGTCTATCGGGTTGATTCAGGCCCTGAGCCAGATTTAGGGAGCCTCAAAGGGGTAAGTGCTCCGCGGTGCTTACAATAGAGATTTTGGTACTATCAGCTCGAACGGGTTGTGTAGTATAATTACCGCATGCTTTACACTACTGCCCCACGTGGGCGTGTACATTCACATCAACATAAAAAACCCCTTACCACTGGGTCCACGACCTGATGAAAAGTCAACGTAGCAATAGTTGTACCCGAGACCAACACCGACGCCTAACATCACGAACAAAGTCGTGATGATGCAAGACACAACAGCAGATATTGCACAGCATGATGTTAGTCTGAAACAGCAACGACAGTAACCTTTTTTTACAATAAACAAGCGTAGAATTAAAAGCTAGCTAGCTAACAGTTTGGCACAGTAACGCGTTATGTAACGAAGCAGTTTATTCTCCTGCAAAAAAAGGTATTCACAATACTAATTTGAGCTCTGTATAAATGTAATTTCTGGGTCGAAAAGGAATGTAATTATTACTTACTAGGTAACATAGGTCTATGAAGTAGACTAATGTGTTTGTGATGTACATATTTATTGGTAGATAGTAATTTTTGCGCTTACTTTTCAAAAATATATGATATGTTTCCAAAGCAATATAAGATTTTAGTACATCTGCAAGAGAAGCACATATTATATAAAAATAAAAGCTGTAAAATTGTTAAAAACATATACAAAAGATATAAAAAAATCTAATATATAATTGTCAGATGACAATCATAATTAATATTTTGATAGATAAAGAAAGTATAAGTTCTTATATAATACATTTTATGGAATATAATAGCGATATGTTTTATTCATTAAAATTAAAAAATAATATTTTTTACATTTTTTTATTTCGACTAATCAATTTTGTAAAGATCCGTAGCGGTGAGAGAATTGTATGCTCCTAAACTTGTTTTTTAGCTTAATTATATTTATTATCTGTACTCACATTTTACGTCAAATATTGACATATGAGAAAACGCATATGTAGTGCAAGTGTATTTTATTTTTTCTACAACCATTACGCGGGGTCCGTTTTAAAAACGTTATGGCGAATTATTTTCGAATAACAGAGTCTGATAACGTACCAGAGTCGCTGAAGAAGTAAGAATGGTATCCATTTCACATTTAAAAACCGTTTTTTTATACTTTTTGGGTTCAGTAGCCAAAGTGTAGAAACGGTACCTAGTTACTAATATCTCACTGTTTGTGTATCACCATATTTCAAACCGCTGTAGGCAGTTGGTAATTTTTTGCTACTATAACACTGAAGACTTAATAAATATATTGAAGAGGGGCATAAATAAAACACCATGTAAGTCAATTTCTGTTTTATTTTCCAATACAAACAAAACAAAGTCAGACTAACCTGAAAGAACGTTACAATACCATTATTATACCTACTGCTGTTTGCCTGGTCAATGGTAAGGAACTCTTCCTTGGTGGGTTTTTTTTGTTAGAAAATACAATCAATAACAATTAAATGGGTATAATAAAAGGTTACTTAGTAACTAATGTGAGTTACCTTTAAGTTAATTCATTTTTTTAAAGAAAAAGAGGTAAAGAAATATTAATGTAATCATTTTAAGGACTCAAATTATATTCTGTGTTCTGTAACTTATTTAAGCTCCTAAGCTACAGCTTAGCAATTTCAGACACCAAAATAAGAAAGAAATGTTGTCAAAATTATATTCTTTTTCACTAAATACAGACTGCTGTAAAATTTCCGTACGTGTACTTTTTTTCTTGTAGCAAACCGAAATGGGTGCTATGTTTGTTATGTACCATCACTGTGGTAGTGATGGTAGCGTCAGCGATTACGGCCGGAGTGTTCATAGGCTACACTTACTGTTACATGGAGCACAAGACGAGACTTACTTCAGGTAGAAGGTTTTAGTTTACTTAATGTTAAGTCCATAAAACATGGAAAGGGTAGTTATTTGTTGTTATTATAGAAACTCTGTGTGCAATAATACAAATACTTTAAGACCGTTTAAATCAATCCGATAATTTGTATAAGTTTTAGAGTCGAACATACATAGATAAAAAAAAAAACCTCTTATTTTTTGTTTAGTTGTCGGGTAACAAGTTACACGTCGCGTTTAGTTTTTTTTTGTTTCATGTTTCAAATATCGTCTATAGCTTATGAAATTATTAACAAAAAATTATCGTAATAAAACACGAATTTTTAACTATACTTAGATTTTTAAATTTAGAATACAGATTTACGTACAATATAAATCACTTGCGAGCGGAAGGTACAATTTTAATTATTTAGCAAAGCATAATCTTAGTCAAACCTTTGAGCCAAGCTACACTATTAATCCATAATTTATTAACGATTAAGTCCCACGAAAAGTACACCCACGCGGTCCCTTTGAAAATCTTACTCCATAATTAATAGCCCGTACCTAACTACTACTAACCGACGCTCTTTATCAGTAGAAGTATATATTAATAATTACTAATTCATTAAAATAAACACGCTTTCAGGGACTTGTGTAGTTAAATTATATTCATATTTTACATCGCATTTTGCCTTATAATATTAGTTAAGATTATCTCTCGTTGTGGAGGCTTTTATCTGAATATTACCTCTAAAGTAATAACAGTTAGACGGGAAGAAACGTATGGCTAATAATCAACAGATCGTAGTTTCGGTCCACACCAGATCCACCATGTTTCTATTCATTTGAATAAAACTCTTTGACGGTTTCAAACGCGAATTATAATAGAACCAATAAAAGTTTACTATTAAGCTAAGTTACAGATTAAACTACAGATTACTAATGTTTCTAAACAATTTATGGTTTATCTGAAACATTTTGGAAATCTGAATATCAAATGGATGGTAGGAAAATCTAAAATTCCGCCCGGGCACCACCGTCCAGATATGAAAAAGACGCGAAGTTTAATTGTGTTTCCATTTCAGTCGGTGGATTTCTGAAAATCCAAAACCAAAAATTGGACATAATGTTATATGACTGGGGTATTATACCTTACACAAGTGAACAGTTAAATTAATACGAAAAGTACACGCCTGTTGTACAAGAAATTTTCGCAGCCAATATTGTAAATAGCTAGCAAGTTTTCGCAGGCGTTTACACTCGTTTTCGCGCTGTAATTACAAAAAATATTCAACTAGGGAATTTAATTACTTGCTTTGAATTTTTGTCATTTTATACGTTAAAAAGCTAAGCAATCGCCATTGCGGCTTGCTGAATTAATATAATACAATTTGCTTATGGATAAAACTGATTAAAACATGAAATGACAAGACTCGGACTCTTGATTTGGGAGCTAGCAATAAAGTTCCATTTTGGCACCATCTAAATAACATGAACGTGAGTGATATACATGAAATAAAACTGTTTTAAACGCGAACTATGTTAGTTAATTTATATTAAAATACAACTTAAGATCTGCTGTGGTCTTGGTGGTATAGAGGGCGTCCCTGTGGTCTTAACTCAAATCTGTTATCTAAAACCATCTGCTTTCACCTTATTAGTACTTGTCGAAACTAGTTAGGTTTTACAGATCTAATTCAAGGTATCTTCCTCAATTTTGCCGGGGTTATCGTTTTATTATCGAGTCTCAGGGTTTGTCGGTTCATCAATACACTTATTAATTAACTTGTTTGTATGCAATATTTTGCGTTTTAAACCGTTACCAGTGTTTTATTTCAGGTGCGGTCGTCGATGATATAATTAAAACCATATTGACAAAAGCTAGAGCTATTTGATATCTTGTAAGGAATTGTAAATCCATTATAACAAAATCAAATGCCCGCGATTTTCTATAAATATGTTTTAGTGTTTATTCTTTTGAGTTTTCATATAATTGTTGCATCTATTTAGGTAACTATTATACACAGTTAACGGGTACAAGACGTCGGTATTTCGATAAGCCATTAATTATTTGAATCAATTTGTGGAGCACGAACAAGAATTTACTGTTCATCAAGCGGTCGGAGGTCAAGCTTAAAGTATGCGATCGAATTTGTCGGTCATCTTTATTAATTAAGCTCTTTACTATCTACAAATTAGACAACGCTTACCTAAAAACGCCGATACAAAGCAAACACATTCAAAATGTTATTAGCTGGTTTGTTCCGTTTTTTAAGATTGGCGGGAAAAATATTTGATTTTAAGTTGTAAAGGCAAAATAAATATCACAGACTAAAAATTCGTTGAAAATGTTCGAGTTCAATGTGACCAGAGACTATAGATGTTTTTACTAAACACAGATAATGCTCTTACCTCTCTCTCACAGATAATTATCCTTATAAAATAATTGTTTCCAACAGGAAACGTAACACAATCAGGGGATCTTCAAATATTACAAAGCGTGTATAAGGACTCCCCGGAAGAAGCTTATAAAAGAACAATAAACGGAGCTATGAAGAGCGTTTTAATTTCGAGGATTCGTAATATTAGTAATTTTCTGTGGCGCGACGATACAGACTGAACTCAATCTGTGGAGTTCAAGGTATCACGATGTTTTCAATACTTTTAATAACAAATTGTTGTAAAAATTATAAGTACAAATATTAAAATTTTACAAGCTATATAAAATATGATATTACAGAGGAAGAAGTAGATAATAAAGAAAAATTATCATTATAAATATACTTTTACTAACAAAATTTATTATATTTTTTTGTAAATAATAACTCGAAATAAAAAAGTATGTTTTTATATGGCAACCGTTTTATTTATTTTACTATATGGCAATTTTACAAACTAATTCTTTAATGTTATTAATAGCATAGCATTATAGCATATAGCGTTCCTATAAAAAACGGTTTAAAAAAAGGTATTTAGTAAATATAATATACAATATCAGTCATACTGCATGTGTACTTTATTCGTCGTCATGACAATGAGATAACTTCTATATACACATAACAAATTAGCAAATATTCCCCATGATTCATCATTTTTTCAGACTATAACTTGTAATATAGTAATTTAACTGAAAAACTAATTTCTCTACTTAGTATTAATAAAACAATAACCCACCACCATCATCGTCTCTAACTGGCTAGTCATTGGAACTTGTTTTATGATATAATTTTCCATCTATACTAGTATTTTAAAGTAAAGCAGAGTTTCGTTTGAACGCGCTAATGTCAAGAACTATGGGTTGGAATTAAAAATTACTCTTGTATTGATTTGACAATTTATCGAAAGAGGCTGTAGGCTACGTCATGTGTTACTGAAAAAGCGCGTTCAAAC